TGATGTGTGAAGTGTTGTAGTGATATGTGTAGTGCTGTAGTAATGGTGTAGTGTTGTACTGATGGGTGTAGTGTTGTAGTGATGTGTGTAGTGTTGTAGTAATGGTGTAGTGTTGTACTGATGGGTGTAGTGTTGTAGTGATGTGTGTAGTGTTGTAGTAATGGTGTAGTGTTGTACTGATGGGTGTAGTGATGTGTGTAGTGTTGTAATGGTGAGTGTAGTGATATGTGAAGTGTTGTAGTGATGTGTGTAGTGTTGTATTAATGGTGTAGTGTTTACTGATGGGTGTAGTGTTGTAGTGATGTGTGTAGTGTTGTAGTGATGTGTGGAGTGCTGTAGTGATGTGTGTAGTGGTGGGTGTTGTGTTGTAGTGGTGGGTGTAGTGTTGTAGTGGTGGGTGTAGTAATGTGTGCAGTGTTGTAGTGGTGGGTGTAGTGATGTGTGTAGTGTTGTAGTGGTGGGAGTAGCTTTGTAGTGATGTGTGTAGTGTCGTAGTGAGGGTTTAGTGTTGTAGTGGTGGGTGTAGTGTTGTAGTGGTAGGTGTAGTGATGTGTTCAGTGTTATAGTGGTGGATGTAGCAATGTGTGCAGTATTGTAATGATGTGTGTGTGTTGTTGTGTGTAGTATTGTAGTAATGTGTGTAGTGTTGTAGTTATGTTTGTAGTGTTGTAATGATATGTCCCCCTTCCCTTTATATAAAGGAATTATGCACACTGTCAGCCAATCCCTAGGTACCTTCCCTTCTTTCATACATTTATTAAAGAAAAATAGCAACCACTCCAACAGTATATCCCCCTGCTTTTAACATTTGTCATGATCCCGTCAGTTCCAGCTGCTTTACCCCCTTTCATTCTACGTAATGCCTCATGCACCTCCTTCACACTCACATCCTGCTCTTCTTCACTCCTAAAAGATGTTATATTTCCCTGGCCTGTACATGAAATTACTGCCTCCTTTTCTTCATCGACATTTAAAAGTTCCTCAATATATTCCCGACATCTACCCAGGGTAATATTTAGCAGGGTAATATTTAGTGAAGGGATTCAGGGAAACCGGTTATTATTATATAGCCGGACTTGAGTCCTGGAAATGGGAAGTACAATACCTGCACTCTAAAGGAGGGGTTTGGGATACTGGCAGTTTGGAGGGGTATGTCGTGTATCTTTATACGTACAGTGGACCCCCGGTTAACGATTTTAATCCGTGCAAGAGGGGTAATTGTTATGCGAAATAATCGTTATGTGAATGAATTTTCCCCATAAGAAATAATGGAAATAAAATTAATCCGTGCAAGACACCCAAAAGTATGAAAAAAAAAATTTTACCACATGAAATATACATTTTCCCACACACAAAGAGAAGGATACATGCACAATAGTAGAGTAGTACATGCACAGTATATATTGTGCATGTACTAGTCTACTAAATGAAGAATAAATGACACTTACCTTTATTGAAGATGCAGCAATGACTGATGAGACACTGTGTCCTGGGAGTGCCTTTTCCTCCTGAGTACTGTAGGTCCTGTTTGGCATTTTCTTCCAGAACAGGCCTTATCACACTGTGTATGCCACTACGATTCTTAAATCTCTCAAACCAACCTTTGCTGGCTTTAAATTCACCAATATGAGCACTAGTTCCAGGCATTTTTCCCTGTTTCACCTGGGTGTTAGTCGACTTGTGTGGGTTGCATCCTGGGAGATAAGATTAAGGACCCAATGGAAATAAGTTAGACAGTCTTCGATGACACTGACTTTTTTGGGTTATCCTGGGTGGCAAATCCTCTGGGGTTAATTGTTTCTTGGTATTCTCAATAAGCCACACCAACAACGGTGCTACAGCAGCAGCAGCAGCTGACAGTGCAGCAGCAGCAGCAGCTGTACCACCAATAGTAGCGATGGTTGATTGGGGTTTATTATACAACCTGGCCAGCTCGGAGACATGCACTCCACTTTCATACTTATCAATGATCTTTTTCTTCATCTCTATTGTAATTCTCACCCTTATTGCTGTAGGGTTGGCACTAGAAGCTTTCTTGGGGCCCATGGTCACTTATTTTCCAGAAAAAGCACCGAAAACACTGTAATAATACGAAATATTCCGATTGTATGCTTGGATGTTACCGCGGAGGCTGGCTGGTAAACAATGCCACCGGCGGAACATGTGAGCGCGTCTCGGAAGAAAATCGGTAAGCGGGTTTTTAAGCGGTATGTGAGGCAAAATTTTTGCAATTAAAGTAAGCGGTATGCGAAATAATCGCTATGTGATGCCATCGTTATGCGGGGGTCCACTGTATATGCTTCTAAGCTGTTGTGTTCTGAGCACCTCTGCAAAAACAGTGATTGAGTGAGTGAGGTGAAAGAGTTGAATGATGATGAAAGTACAGTGGACCCCCACCTTACGATATTAATCTGTTCCTGAGAGCTCATCGTATGCCGAAATTATCGTAAGGTAAATTAACTTTCCCCATAAGAAATAATGGAAATCAAACTAATCTGTGCAAGACACCACAAAGTATGAAAAAATTTTTTTTTTTTACCACATGAAATATTAATTTTAATACACACAAGCTGACATTTACCTTTATTGAAGATCTGGTGATGACTGATGGGATGGGAGGAGGGGAGAGTGTGGAAATTGTTAATGTTTAGAAGGGGAATCCCCCTCCATTAGGGCTTTAGGTAGCACGTCCTTATCCAGGGTTACTTCCCTTCTTCTTTTAATGCCACTAGGACCAGCTGACTGTGGTGCAGCAACAGCTGACTTTGGTGCAGCAGCAGCTGACCATGGTGCAGCAACAGATGATGGTGGTGTAGCAGCAGCTGACTGTGGTGCAGCAGCAGCTGACCATGGTGCAACAGCAGCTCACGGTGGTTCAGCAACAGCTGACTGGTGCAGCAACAGCTGATCGTGGTGCAGCAACAGCTAACCGTGGTGCAGCAACAGCTGACCGTGGTGCAGTAACAGCTGTGGTACGATAGCACATATTTCTCACCCTTTTTACCACAGGGCTGGCACTAGAAGCTTTCTTTGGGCCCTTGGTGGCTTATTTAGCAGTTACAAGCACTATAAACAATGGAATAATACAAAATGTATCGAATGTATGCATGCAACCAGCCACCCTGGCTTGTAAACAATGATGGCAGGGCAGCTGAGGTGCTCAGGCTGGACGGACAGGTTTGGGACGAGTCATGTTGGTCAGAAACAGCTGATGGTGGTGCAGCAGCAGCTGACTGTGGTGCAGCAGCAGCTGACCGTGGTGCAGCAGCAGCTGACTGTGGTGCAGCAGCAGCTGACTGTGGTGCAGCAACAGCTGACGGTGGTGAAGCAGCAGTTGACGGTGGTGCAGCAGCAGCTGACGGTGGTGCAGCAGCAGCTGATGGTGGTGCAGTAGCAGCTGATGGAGGTGCAGCAGCAGCTGACGGTGGTGCAGCAGCAGCTGAACGTGGTGCAGCAGCAGCTGACAATGGTGCAGCAACAGCTGACGGTGGTGCAGCAACAGCTGACCATGGTGCAGCAGCAGCTGACCGTGGTACGATAGTGCGTATTTCCCACCCTTTTTACATATGATCACTTGAGAGATGGTATCTCCTGCTATCTGTTTTTCATTTATCCACACCAATAAGTCTCTCAACATCTTCGAGTACTTGCGATCTCTGTTTCGAAAACAAACTTGCACCTTTTGCAAGAACAGCTTCCTTGATTGTCATTTTGTTGGCCACAATAGTAGCGATGGTTGATTGAGGTTTGGTATACAACCTGGCCAGCTCCGAGACACGCACTCCACTTTCGTACTTAGCAATTATCTCTTTCTTCATTTCCATATTAATTTTCACCTTTTTTACCACACAGTTGGCACTAGAAGCTTTCTTGGGGCCCATGGTGACTTATTTTGCAGATACAATCACTAAAAACGCTGTGATAATATGAAATGTAATGATTGTATGTGTGGATGCGACCTCACTGGCTGGCTTGTAAACACTGGCACCCACGGGGCAGCTGAGGTGCGCTCAGGCCACACTTGGGACGCCCAGGACGAATCGTGTGAGGTGAGTTTTTAAGCGTGAGGCGAGGCAAAATTTTTTAGTTAAAATATATCGTAAGGTGCATTTAACATAAAGTGATGCCATTATAAGGTGGGGGTCCACTGTATTTTCTTTTTGGGGATTTTCTTTCTTTTTGGGTCACCCTGCCTCGGTGGGAGATGGCCGAATTGTAAAAAAAAAAAAAAAAAAAAAAAAAAAAAAAAAAAAAAAAAAAAAAAAAAAAAAAACCAATACCTCCAGTTCTCCATCTACTAACTCCCCTACTCTGTTTTTAAATGACAAACCCATTTGTTCCCTAGACTTTCTTAACTTGTTTATCTCACTCCAATTTTTTTTCTTATTTTCAGCAAAATATCTTGACCGTGCCTCTCCCACTACCATCTGCTCTCATTTTGCACTCTCTTAAAAGAGGTTACAAATAATTTTCAGAAGCGGAGAAGAATTCTTCCTCCATAAGCCATGCGTATTGTAAGAGGTGACTAAAATTCCAGGAACAAGGGGCTAGTAACCCCTTTTCCTGTATACATTATGTATTTAATAAAAAATGAAGAAATCTTTGGTTTCTTCTTTTTCAGGTCATCCTGCCTTGGCAGGAGATGGCTGACAAGTTAAAATAAAAAACTTAATGTTGTAAGTGGAAGGCCTACTGCACGAGCCTTAATGTAGAAGGCTAGAAAGCCAAGTGATGTAATCTCAATAACAAAATACGAAATTGTTTTTTTATGAGTTAGAGATGATGCAAACTTGTGATGAGACAGAAATTATTACTGGATGAGTTGGAGATGATGCAAACTTGTGATGAGACAGAAATTATTACTGGATGAGTTGGAGATGATGCAAACTTGTGATGAGACAGAAATTATTACTGGATGAGTTGGAGATGATGTAAACTTGTAATGAGACAAAAATTGTTACTGGATGAGTTGGAGATGATGTAAACTTGTGACAACTCACCAGACCCTCCTGATTGACCATGATGTTGTCTGGGTGACGGTCACCAATGCCAAGTACAAATGTGGCTACACAATAGCCAGCACACGACCGTGTGAAGTTGTCTATTGCTTGCTCCAGCCTGCGAAAGAATGATCAAAATACGGTATTAAATGTGAGCACAAACACCTGGAGGCAGGAAGTACACTGCTTACACCCTGAGGAAATGGGGTGGGGATGCTGAATTTCAGAGGGTCATTTAAATTGTGATGTCTGTGCACTTCTGGCAAGACAGCTATTGAATGAATGATGGAGAATGTATTTTCTTTCTTGTGGGTCACCATACCTCGGAGGGATGTGGCTGATGTAATGAAACATAAAAACAGCTATGAAAACATTAGGACATGTTTCTTTAGGTACCTGGATGCTAGATGACTGGTGTTGGTCGCACCTGGGGACAAAATTAACCTAAGTTGCGGGAAATGCTGCACAACCAGGGTTTTTCTATATACCATGTCACTTGTGTCATCCATGGTCTGTATAAGTTGTATCATGGACTTGTAAAAATAAAGATTATTATTATTATTATTATGCACAACTTCAAATTCTGCATTACCTCCAGGAACATAAGCCACCATGAATTACAAGGTTCAACTATTCTCTATAGTAAAATAAGTTAACTCACTACAACTGATGATACAGGTACTTGTGTTATATACAGGAGAGCCCTGTTTACATGACTTAGGTTCCTGACTCTCCAACAATAAATGAAAATTGCCAACGAGTGGAACAGAGCAGTTTCAACATTGAATGTGTCACATATTAAATGCTCAATACAGCTAGGCATAAAAAAAATAGATACAAAAGTAAAATAAATTGAAAACCACCAAAAATGTGGAACACTGAAGAGAGGATGCCGAATAGATAGGGCCTTCCTGTAATGGACTACTAGTTGCATTTATTTTAATATTCATAAGTGGCACCTAGCTTGCACTGTAAAGGAGGGGTGTAGATATCTGCTGTTTGGAAGGTCACCTGAACTATTGTACCTGTGCGCCTCTGGCAAGACAGTGATAGTGTGAATGATGGTGAAAATATTTCTTTTTTGGGTCACAGTGCTTCGGTGAGAGATGGCCAGTGTTAAAAAAAGAAATAAGTATACCTGAATTTTATTGACAATATCAGTGACATCAAAGGTACTACCACTCCGAACTTGCTCTCTGATCAAATTTTCACACTACAGTCTCTCCTCGCTTAACGACAGAGTTCCGTTTCTAAGAGTAGGTCGGTAAACGAATCGGTCGTTAAGCGAGGAGCATACAGCAGGTAGGTTGGTAGACAGCAACCACCCAGGGAAGTACTACCGTCCTGCCAGATGACTGTGAAACAAAAACCTGTAACTGTTTTGCATGATGGTAGGATTGCTGGTTTCTTTTTCTGTCTCATAAACACGCTAAGATAACAGGGATATCTTGCTACTCCTACTTACACTTTGGTCACACTTCACAGACACGCACATGCATATATATATATACATACATCTAGGTTTTTCTCTTTTTTCTAAATAGCTCTTGTTCTTTTTTATTTTTTCTATTGTCCATGGGGAAGTGGAAAAGAATCTTTCCTCCGTAGCCATGCGTGTCGTATGAGGCGACTAAAATGCCGGGAGCAATGGGCTAGTAACCCCTTCTCCTGTATACAATTACTAAAAAGAGGAAGAAGAAAAACTTTATAAAACTGGGTTGCTTAAATGTGCGTGGATGTAGTGCGGATGACAAGAAACAGATGATTGCTGATGTTATGAATGAAAAGAAGTTGGATGTCCTGGCCTAAGCGAAAAAAGTAAAGGGGGTAGGAGAGTTTCAGTGGGGGGAAATAAATGGGATTTAATTGGAGTATCTGAGAGAGTTAGAGCAAAGGGGGGGGGTAGCGAATGTTAAATGATCGTTATGGAAGGAGGAAAAGGATATGAATGTGTAAATTCAAAAATTATGTGGATTAAAGTAAAGGTTGGATGCGAGAAGGGGGTCAAAATAACGTGTAGCACCTGGGAAAAAGGGGGAAATGCAGAGGAGGAGAGAGTTTTTGGGAGATGTTAAGTGAATGTATGGGAGCCTTTGAACCAAGGAGGGGTAATTGTGGAGGGGACTTGAATGCTAAAGAGGAAAAACTTTTAGAGGGGTGTGGTAGGTAATTTTTGGGGTGAGGTGTAAAGAAAAGGGGAGCCCTTTGATTGAACTTTTGTATAGAAAGGGGGGTTTGTTATAGGTAATACTATTTTAAGAAAAAAAAGGTAAATAAGTATACACGATAGATGTAGGGGGAAAAGACAGAGTTTGTTTGGATTTTGTATTGGTAAAAAAGATGTTGAGTGACTTCAGGATGTCATGTTTATAGAGGGGCCACAGATATATAGTCATTTCTGTTGTGCTATATGAGAGTAAAAGGTAGATGGGATCAAGGAGAATAGAAGCATGGGAAGGAGGGTGAAGGTTTATAAACTAAAAGGGGCAGTTAGGGTAAGATATAAACAGCTATTGGAGGATAGATGGGCTAATGAGAGCATAGGCAATGGGGTCGAAGAGGTATGGGGTAGGTTTAAAAATGTAGTGTTAGAGTGTTCAGCAAAGTTTGTGGTTACAGGAAAGTGGGTGCAGGGGGAAGAGGAGCGATTGGTGGAATGATGATGTAAAGAGAGTAGTAAGGGAGAAAAAGTTAGCATATGAGAAGTTTTTTACAAAGTAGAAGTGATGCAAGGAGGGAAGTAGTATATGGAGAAAAAGAGAGAAGTTAAGAGAGTGGTGAAGCAATGTAAAAAGAGAGCAAATGAGAGAGTGGGTGAGATGTTATCAACAAATTTTGTTGAAAATAAGAAAAAGTTTTGGAGTGAGATTAACAAGTTAAGAAAGCCTAGAGAACAAATGGATTTGTCAGTTAAAAATAGGAGAGGAGAGTTATTAAATGGAGAGTTTGAGGTATTGGGAAGATGGAAGGAATATTTTGGGAGGAATTGTTAAATGTTGATGAAGATAGGGAAGCTGTGATTTCGTGTATAGGGCAAGGAGGAATAACACTCTTGTAGGAGTGAGGAAGAGCCAGTTGTGAGTGTGGGGGAAGTTCGTGAGGCAGTAGGTAAAATGAAAGGGGGTAAGGCAGCCGGGATTGATGGGATAAAGATAGAATGTTAAAAGCAGGTGGGGATATAGTTTTGGGTGGTTGGTGCAATTATTTAATAAATGTATGGAAGAGGGTAAGGTACCTAGGGATTGGCAGAGAGCATGCATAGTTCCTTTGTATAAAGGCAAAGGGGATAAAAGAGAGTGCAAAAATTATAGGGGGATAAGTCTGTTGAGTGTACCTGGTAAAGTGTATGGTAGAGTTATAATTGAAAGAATTAAGAGTAAGACGGAGAATAGGATAGCAGATGAACAAGGAGGCTTTAGGAAAGGTAGGGGGTGTGTGGACCAGGTGTTTACAGTGAAACATATAAGTGAACAGTATTTAGATAAGGCTAAAGAGGTCTTTGTGGCATTTATGGATTTGGAAAAGGCGTATGACAGGGTGGATAGGGGGGCAATGTGGCAGATGTTGCAAGTGTATGGTGTAGGAGGTAGGTTACTGAAAGCAGTGAAGAGTTTTTACGAGGATAGTGAGGCTCAAGTTAGAGTATGTAGGAAAGAGGGAAATTTTTTCCCAGTAAAAGTAGGCCTTAGACAAGGATGTGTGATGTCACCGTGGTTGTTTAATATATTATAGATGGGGTGTAAGAGAAGTAAATGCGAGGGTTTGGCAAGAGGCGTGGAGTTAAAAGATAAAGAATCACACACAAAGTGGGAGTTGTCACAGCTGCTCTTTGCTGATGACACTGTGCTCTTGGGAGATTCTGAAGAGAAGTTGCAGAGATTGGTGGATGAATTTTGGTAGGGTGTGCAAAAGAAGAAAATTAAAGGTGAATACAGGAAAGAGTAAGGTTATGAGGATAACAAAAAGATTAGGTGATGAAAGATTGAATATCAGATTGGAGGGAGAGAGTATGGAGGAGGTGAACGTATTCAGATATTTGGGAGTGGACGTGTCAGCGGATGGGTCTATGAAAGATGAGGTGAATCATAGAATTGATGAGGAAAAAGAGTGAGTGGTGCACTTAGGAGTCTGTGGAAACAAAGAACTTTGTCCTTGGAGGCAAAGAGGGGAATGTATGAGAGTATAGTTTTAACCAACGCTCTTATATGGGTGTGAAGCGTGGGTGATGAATGTTGCAGCGAGGAGAAGGCTGGAGGCAGTGGAGATGTCATGTCTGAGGGCAGTGTGTGGTGTGAATATAATGCAGAGAATTCGTAGTTTGGAAGTTAGGAGGAGGTGCGGGATTACCAAAACTGTTGTCCAGAGGGCTGAGGAAGGGTTGTTGAGGTGGTTCGGACATGTAGAGAGAATGGAGCGAAACAGAATGACTTCAAGAGTGTATCAGTCTGTAGTGGAAGGAAGGCGGGGTAGGGGTCGGCCTAGGAAGGGTTGGAGGGAGGGGGTAAAGGAGGTTTTGTGTGCGAGGGGCTTGGACTTCCAGCAGGCATGCGTGAGCGTGTTTGATAGGAGTGAATGGAGACAAATGGTTTTTAATACTTGACGTGCTGTTGGAGTGTGAGCAAAGTAACATTTATGAAGGGATTCAGGGAAACCGGCAGGCCGTACTTGAGTCCTGGAGATGGGAAGTACAGTGCCTGCACTCTGAAGGAGGGGTGTTAATGTTGCAGTTTAAAAACTGTAGTGTAAAGCACCCTTCTGGCAAGACAGTGATGGAGTGAATGATGGTGAAAGTTTTTCTTTTTCGGGCCACCCTGCCTTGGTGGGAATCGGCCGGTGTGATAATAAAAAAAAAAAAAATAAAAAATAACATACAGTAGTCCATCATTTAGCAGAAGTTTATTGGGCACGATCTGGGTATTGCACGACTGAAGAATTGCGGCACAATTTTATGTAACACGGTTCAGTTTACTCGAATGAAAAAAATAATTTCTTTTGTTCAAGCGGCCACCTTGTTGTGGAGCAGCCGGGGAGGCATCCCACCATCCCCTGCCACTCCCCGACACCACCCCATCATCCCAGCGTTCGTAATTCATACGTGTCCAGTTCAGTCTTTCTCTG